ACCGAGCGGTTCGTGCTGGATTGTGTCTGGTTCGGATCGGAGGATGGAGCAAAAGAGATGGTTGGGTTATTTGTTTTTTAAGTGGCTACAATTGGGTATCGAAGAAGTGAAAAATACCCTAATGAAACTTTTTTTTGTTTCTCTGGATATGTTATATTTTTTAAGTGTTGAGTTTCTTTCTTCTCTTCCTATCACAAATTTTAATGGTGTTTTTTCTCAATATGTGACTACAAAATAAGTTAATTGATCAAAATTCTAAGGAATATACGGACAAAAATCTCACATGTTGCTAACGAATTGGGAGTTCATCTATAAAATATTAAAAGTTTTGGGTTAACTTTGAGATTTAAGAAAAACTTGGGGGTGATGAATGTAATTTATAAAAAGTAGAAAATTAGGGCAACAAGACCACCACCTTTAAAAGCACAAAAACCCTAGCACACTAGTTTCCTTCTCTCTCTCGTTCAAGAGCTAAAAACCGCCGCTCGTGTCTTCACACAAAAGTTCGAGGATTTGTTCAAGGTTCACTGTAACACTCTTCGATTTCTTCCATTAAATCCAGCTCTAGTTTCGTTTATTGACGAGATTCGATATAGAAATTCGAATCCAACTCTCATCTGCTAGATAGATCTCACTGTGAATTGAAAATGTCAGTATCGAAACTCTGATGTTTGTATGCGTATAGGTATCTTTGTGGGTAATTTACTTACATTTACAGTGATCTATAAACACTCTATGGTCTGTTTTGGATTTTATACCATGGAAATGTATCGAAACTTGATGTTTGTATGAATATATTCGTATTGGTGTCTTTGTGGGTATTTTATTTACATTTTTCAGTGTTTTGGGTTTTGTAGCAGACAAGTGTTTTGCAAGATGAGTCGTGGAACTGCAGCTGTTGCTAAGGGAAAGAAGAAAGGAGTCTCCTTTTCTATTGATTGCTCTAAGCCTGTTGATGACAAGATCATGGAGATTGCATCCCTCGAGAAGTTTCTTCAGGAGAGGATCAAAGTCGGTGGCAAAGCTGGTGCCCTTGGTGATTCGGTTAAAATCACCCGTGACAAGAACAAGATCACTGTCACTTCTGATGGTCAATTCTCCAAGAGGTATGTAGAAGAATCCAAACCTTCCTCTGGATTTGAGCTTCTTTTTTCGTCTTGCGATGATGGAACGTAATAGAAACTGATTGTAGAGGAATACTAAACTTTTATCGTCTAGTCTCTCATTGAGTGTTGATTGTCTTTGACTGATAAAATCATAAAAGACTTTGTAGAGAACAAGAATCCTCTGGATTTGTCTTGGTTTTCGGTATTGCGATGATGGAACCTAATAGAAACTAATTGTAGAAGAATACTAAACTTTTATCGTCTAGTCTCTCATTGAGTGTTGACTGATAAATCATAAAAGACTTGTAGAGAACAAGAATCATCGTGTTATGTCTTCTTTTTCGGTCTTATGATGATGGAACCTAGTAGAAACTGATTGTAGAAGAATCCAAACTTGTGATTGTTTCTGAGTTTAAGTAATTCTCTGAAGTGTAACTCACTGTTCACTATTTATCAGGTATCTCAAGTACTTGACTAAGAAGTACTTGAAGAAGCACAATGTGAGGGATTGGCTCAGAGTGATTGCGGCGAACAAGGACCGTAACCTCTATGAGTTGAGGTACTTCAACATCGCTGAGAACGAGGGAGAGGAAGAAGATTAAAGAACCGGTTTTGTTTAGAAACTATATTCGATTTCCGCTGTTTCTCCTGTTTTGGTTTCCTCAATACAATTATCTTCGTCCTCCTGTTTTCTTTTGACAAGATCTTATGGATATTGTTGTGTTGGACAAATCTTTTGACAGCAAAAATTTGGGTAAAGATCGTATTTTCCAATGATTTTGTTAATAAGGAATTGAGGATTAATTAAATGATTGATGAAAATACCTAAGATGTGAGAATCTCTGAAAGTAGTTATTGTTGGTCTCAATTCATATCTCATCTTGAAATGGATTTGTAAACTCAAAAGCCTAGTAAAACAGAAAATCATAACTTTTTAGACTCAAAGTGGGGTTGGAAACTTATTTTGTTTTTATATAAAAAATTCACATCAATTGTGCTTCAAGAGATGGAATCCAATGTGTTGAATGAGAATTAGAGTAAGGAATTTGTCCAAAGAAAGAATCTTCAAGTAGGCAATGAAATTGGTCTCTTTTGGAATCCTTATGCTTCAAGGTTCCACTTTAGTGTGCTTGCTTGATACAACCATTAATTAGAAGATTTCTAGAGTCCAAATTCATATTATTAGACTCTCTTTCTTTCATTAATTGGGTTTAATTATAGCTGATTAATATGGTCTTGTTTCCATGCAAAGAAAGTACACATATCTTATTGTCTTGATTAGTTATTCACAATGTTGCATAGAATCAGAAACATTTATGTGAAAAGCGAAGCGTATAGAAACGCGGAATTGGGTTGTTCAGAAAATTTAGGAAGCGACTACGCTTTGGAGACATGAATATATATATGTAGAGGTGGACATGAGATGGGTATCCGGTAATTTTGGAGTACTCGTGACTTGACCCAACCCGACCAAGTAATTGAAAAAAATAAATACCCGTATCCGATCTGCAAAATACGAGTACCTGGTAAAAGAAAATTGTCGACCCACTGGGTAAAAAAGGATTGTGAAACTAGATTATTCATCTGTGACTAGTCTAGAAAATGAGGAGTGATGATTTATTATTAAGCTTTGCTCAGGAGCTAGCTATTGGATTCTATTCCACAGTTTTTTCTACAACCATACAAGAAAGGACTGCGAAAGCTTTGTCAATATCTGAATCCATGCTAGTTGTGGATGAATCAAAATATAAGATCATGTCAAGGAGGAACAAAGGAACCAAATGGAAACCGGTAATACGCCTAGTCTCTCATATAGTGTAAAGGCAGCAAAGAAAGTATGCGTCTATTCGTCAAAGCCACAAGTTATTTAATCAGAGACTGTTGTTTGAAGAGGCAGAAAACTCTCGACTCCTTTGGTCTCATCAGCTTCCTGCTTCTCTGCAACAGCCCTTGATAATCCAAACATCTGCAAAAATTAGCCAAGTATTGGCTCAAAGTGAACATGAACTGATATGTGTTTAGGTAATAATGAAGAGAAAAAAAAAGAGAACCTTCTTGATGGTCTTGTTGAAACAATTCTTGTGATCATCCATTGAGGCATTGATGAATTCATCAATGTGATCCTTGACATCTTCTAGGAAACTGGCATCATCCTTTGCCTTGTTCCTACACGATTTCATGGCCGGTTTTGGCGGGTTTTCAGCTTCGGTTTTCTGCGTCTCCATTTTATGGTTTGTCCTGTAAAAGAAACATGAATACATTTCTCTAGAATCAAACACAATTAACATAGCCATCACCAATGCAGATACTACACAAAAGCATATAGAGCTTAAGAACCAACAGAATTATATGAAGAATCCTCCACTTTTACTAAAACATATAATCAAATAATGAATCCAAAGTCTATAAATTGAACGATCTTAACCAATAATCCCTCCAGCAATTGGCTATTGACCTTTCTCAGAGATCCTCCAATGTAAAACATAAACACATGTCATGAAATTGAACACGGATCGAGACAAAGACAAAGACCCAAAAACCCAGAGATCAAGCAAACCTAATACAGAAATGGGAGACTCAGAGAACTCACCGACGAGACAAACGGCCGGCGACGGATGTGAGAGAGAGATGTGGCTAGCTTGAGTCTGCCCTGCTTTAAAACGTTTGCAATTGTAAAATTACTAAAATACCCCTGATATGTTCTTCTTCAAAAGAAAAGTAAATTGGTTTTTTTTT